AGATGCCGGCCCTTGGAGGGGCCCAGGATAAAGAGCTTTAAGATGCCGGCCCCTGCAGCGGCCTTCAAGATGCCGGCCTTTGGTGGATCGAACCGCCCCTTGTCTGTCTCCATACTAGGATAAGCCAACGCTTCGACAACACCAGCCATGCAGATCACACCAGATTTGGTCCACTGACGGCCACAGTGGCAGGATTTTGGGGTGTTTGCGACCTCCCATGCGAGGCCCCTTATGAATCTCTAGTAGAGATATCTATAAGGGACGACATCTAAGAGGCCCGAAACCGTTTGTTTTGGGTATGTATGTATGTATGTATGTATGTATGCATGCATGCATGTATGTATGTATGTATGTATGTATGTCATGGAAAATCGACCGAATTTTCAAAATGCTCCGCCCAGGCGCGGATTTTATTCAAAATGTTCAGGACGCTCCGCACGGGAGCGCGATTTTTGATGAAACATCAGCGAATTTCTGATGATGCTCCGCACAAGAGCGCAAGTTTCATCACAATTTTCAGGACGCTCCGCATTTTGAGGATCATACGCACGGGAGCCTGATTTTGTTCAGAATTTTCAGAATGCTCCGCACGGGAGCGCGATTTTATTCAAAATGTTCAGGATGCTCCGCACGCGAGCGCGATCTTCTTCTAAATTTTTGGGGTGCTCCGCACGGGAGCGCGATTTCCTTCAATTTTTTCAGAATGCTCCGCACGGGAGCTCAATTTTGAACGACGAAGTCGACGAAGGCAGTACTAACGCCATACTGGCTGACTACCAGGGTACTCCCCTCCAGACCGCTTTGTTGAACGAAGAAGACGACCTTGAGCAAAGTATCCCAGGAGTGAATCAGTATAGCTTCCATCGACTTAATCGCTCAATTGAACGACGAAGTCGACGAATGCCATACTGACCGGCTACTGGGGCACTCCGCTCAAGACCACCGTCTTGAACGAAGAAGACGACCTCGAGCGGAGTACGCCGGTACTCATTCAGTATAGCTGCAGTATTGCCTTCGTCGACATCATCGTGCATAAATGATCAAAATTTTCCGAATGCTCCGCACTGGAGCGTCTTTTAGATAGACATTGATCAAGATAAAACAGCGAAATTTTGAAGATGCTCCGCACGGGAGCGCGATTGTTGAAGAGATAAAAACGCTAGAAACGCAAAAATCGAATTGTCTCGGCGGGAGACGTGATTTTTGAGTAAGCAAAATCTGGAATTTTGAGGATGTCCCGCACGGGAGCGCGATTTTCAAAATTCGGGGCGCGACCAGTTCGGTTACAGACCCCTCTAGCAAGACTACTTTAAAAGGAGAGCAACCTATTTTTCAGATAGAAATACGTCATAGAACGATGATTTTTTGAGGATGCTCCGAGTGAGAGCGCGATGTTTTTACGATGTAGGGCGCGTCCAAAACGTTTGCGCGACGGAAGAGCACACAGGGACGGCGGGCGACAGCACATCAAACAACTAGAACCCCGCAGTGCATGTGGGGAACAACAGACAAGCAAAATTACGAGGGTAGTGGAGGTGCTTTAGGCTGTTAATCAAATTCGGTCATTGCTGCACGTTCCTCGTCAGCATGCACAAAAGCGGCCCTGTCATGCAGGATTCTGCCCGATTGCCGTGTCAATAAAGCAATATTGAAGTGTGTCTTCTGCAAATTTGACTTCAAGTGCTAGAGAGCTGAACATACACAAGCTATTGCATGCAGAGCAGACCTGAAACGTCAGCTTCTATGCTAGCAGACAAACCCTTGCCCCTTCTTGAGAACAATGGCAATAGATTTGTCGGGACCCCCCCCCTCAAGTTACACTGCTTGGAGCTGGCAGGTGTGCGCAGGGATGCTATAGAGGGTGCTAGATGGATATCTTGCCCCCACAATCTCTCGGTACGAAAATGCCCCGCGCTCCGGCCTTGCTGATGTTTGCCTTCTTCCTGCCCATCCGGTGCCATGCAGGTCTCTGTCACATGGCTTTCAGGAACAAAGAAGTCGGCGAAGCTCAGCACATCGCGCAAAACATCCAAGTTCCATACGCTGCGGCTGAGAATTTAAGGGGGAGGTGCATGTTGTTATGAAGGAGCCGGGCTTTTAGTTCAATGTCAGTGACAAACTGACGTTCCTGAGCTTCAAGTTGAAGGTCTGGCACATGAAAGGCGCAGACTGCGACGCACTATTAGACACTCGCAGATCTCCACTTTTTCTGCCGCTTGCATTGTCTCGTCCATGTGGCCACAAAGAGGCTCGGATACGGAAGCTAGTGAACAGCTCTGTTCAAGCCCACCCTCTTGAGCAAAGAGAATGGAAAACCACGGGCTGCAAACACGGCACCAAGCTTGGCCGTGCTCTTTGCTGCTCCTCATCATTCCTCAATGTGCGGCTGCAGAAGCTCGCTTGTGTCTCTGACAGGTTCCCTCATGCTGCAGCATAGGTCGCGGGCTGGGGCAGCATTCCAAGCTTCACGAGGCACCATGCTGAAGGAGCCGTTGAAGATGCGCCGCCAACAGCTGTGATTGTGATCTCTTTTTGGGCCGAGTCTGCGCAACGACCGGCTGGCACGGCAAGGAAGCAACGGATGTTGGGGCTGCAGCAGCTGCAGGCATCTGTTGAGGAGCCGGGCTTAGGCCAAGTGCCATGCATCAGCCAGATTGACCCGATAATGAGGCTTGCTCAATGTCTCAAGCAAAGTCAGTAATTCAAACATACGAGAGTTCAGCAACATCGCATGAAGATCCCCTCTTTGCATCCAGCACTGGGCCATTTTAGCTTGAACCAGTTGTATAGAAGGGATGATCTGACGCATGCTTGCCTTGCTTGAATCGCTAACTTGGAGGATGGTTTCCACAATTGCCAGGGCCGCCTCCATCGTAGCAGCCCTTTCAGTAGAATCACTGTCGACCATGTGGCTGCCAATCGGATCAACATCAATAGCGACCTCATGCGCAACACGGACCAGGAGCGCAAAGAGCGGCCAACCAGACATTATGACTGTTTCCCAGGGCAACGAAAAAATCTGCGGCACAAGGTATTCTAGGCGCTCAAATCTGACTTGCAAGGATTTCGTGCTTGGCTCAAGCAGTAGAAGCACCAACAACTGTAAACACAACTCTCCCATGGCACACGGTTCAGACTCACGCAGCATGTCAGCCTGAGAGGAAAATGCAACAAGAGCAGCTCCAAGATCTCCAACAGCCTCTACGTCATCCTCAGGTGTAGAGAGGAATGCAACGAGCTGAGACCTTGCACGTTGCCACGAACCACTCCGAAAGCCAGGTCCCAAGATGCAGGATCTTGATTCAAGTTGATCAAGCGGACTGCGCGCGGGTATCGGCATCAGCGAGTCATATATGACCTCCATCGCAGTTGTACCCCATAGCTTTAAATTGCGTCCAGCGGCGAAGCCGTCCTTGTTGCCCACATCGAATGGATAACCAACAGCGGCCAAGAATTCATGAACAGGCCGCTTGTACAATTGATTTTTGGCAGTGTGGGACAGCCAAAGGAATTCCTGAACGGCTTGCTTGTCAAGAAACGGGTATCTGGCTTCAATTCCATGGCTGCCTGCTACAACCTCTTCCTTCATCAGGTAGTCTCTCTGTGTTCCAAGGAAGACGGACGGCCACGGAAAGATGGATGACAAATCCTTTGGAAACAAGCCGCCAAATGCACTGTGGGGGAAAAACTTGACCCCTTGAAAGCCATAATCCGAGATGATCTCATCTGCTCCAGCTCCTGAAACATAAACTAGTATACCAGACTCGCGGCAGCGCCTGAAAATTGCAGAAAGGCCAGTAGCCGCTCCATCTTCTTGAACGGAGCCTCCCGCCCAATTGCTTTTCCCATACTTGAAGGGCTCAGAGGCCAAGTTCAGCCAGTCTCGTTCTGTCTGAAAATCCTGGAGAGAGAGGCTAAGCAGGAAGGCTCGAGACATAGATCTGTTGTGGGAAAGACGCCTGCCGATCAGATCTGGCAATTCTTCTGCAGCCACAGTGAAATAGTTCACACTGTGCGGAGCAGCTTCGGCTTCCAGCGCCACATGCAATGCTCCGGAATCGTAGCCACTGCTGAGACCAACAAAAGTGGGACGGTTTGAAGCTGCTACACGCTTCCAAACCGCCTTTCTAAATGCAGTCTGCCAATCTTGCGTTGAATCCTTGAACTGGCGCAAGTCGAATTCATGTATGGCATAATGGCTGACCCCACTGACACCAACAGCCCCAAGTTGTGGAGCTTCTGCCTTGAAGTCGAGCGTGAGCTGCATCACCTCTCCAATCACAATGGAGTTGAAAGAATGGAGCAGGGAAGGGAAATCAAAGAACAAAGCTTATCAGCTAAAGCCGAGCCAAGGTGATTGCACGAAATTCGTGGTGCAAATAATTACATCCATTGGATCGTGAGGCCATCATGCAGATGCCAAACCAAAAGCACGCTGCGCAGCACTGCTCTGCTTTTTCGTAGAAGCGGATCACCCTGAGTTGAGGGACTGCTTCCTGGACGATGCCTTGAACATGCCACACAAGCTGCCATGCTGTCAGCGAGCGAAGGCTGTTCCATGCTGTTCTGTTTCGCAGGATTTGAACATACAAGAAGGTCGCCTTCAAATGTGCAAGCTTCTGCGTTCTCACGCAGCAGGTTTGCTGTCTTTGGCGCTGCAACAGGCAGTTTCCCGGCGTGCTATTAGGTTCAAACTTTGAAAAACGCAAAATCTGAAAAGCTCAGTGAGGTATGAGGTAAAGGCAGCGGTGGAGGCGTAGGAGGTGGAGGAAGTGGAGGAAGTGGAGGTGGTGGAGGTGGTGGAGGACCAGCATTCCTATCAATGAGCAAACGCGCTCTAATCATCGGATGCGTTCGAAACAGCAACATTGCTGTGGCTTGAAAAATGCATGCTCTCGTAAGCGCATGATCTTTCGGATAAACTTTACTAGGGTTTCGGCATGGATGCTCTGGTCATCGGATGCGCTCGAACCTGAAGGGTTTTATGGTTTGGGCATGGATGCTCCGGTAAGCGCATGCTCTCGCAGATGAACGTTGTAATGGTTTGGGCATGGATGCCCCACTCATCGGATGCACTCGAGCATCAACATCATCATGGTCTGGGCATGGGTACTTACTCTGGTCATCGGATGCACTTCAACGTGAAGAGTAGGATTTGGGCATGGATGCTCCAGTCATCGGACGCACTCGAACATGGATGTTAGTACGAATGGCTTGGACGTACATGCTTAGGAAAGCTTAGGATGTCGCGGATGAACATTAGTATGGTTTGGGCATGGATGCTCTGGTGACCGCATGCACTTTAAGATTGACTTTGCCACGGTTTGGGGATGGATGCTGTAGTAACTGTATGTGCTCGAGGATACATGCTATTATGATTTGGCCATGTATGCTCTGGGGGCCACATGCATCTGGAATACGAGTGATGTCTGGTTGCCGTATGGATGATCGCAGCTCAACCTGGGAAGGAGAAATGGCTCAAGAAACATCCAAAAACGCAAAGCAAACATTCTGCAATGCCAGCGAACTTCACTGAATTGTCAAGCCTTCGCATGCGGCTGACAATCCTGGCGCTCAGGTCCGAAGTCCTGAACTCCCCACAAAACAAGGAAAACCGCAAAGCGCTGTTGATAACAAGATCCCGGAAATGTACACCCATGCATGATGTATGCTTTGGCAAATGATGTGAAGCAGCTCCTCTCTTTTCAGCTGATGCTTGGTCTGAGCTCCACGCGATGTCAAAAGAAGCAAAAATGATTTGCACCGAATCCCTGATGTCAATGTGTAGCTGGGGCCATTGGTTTCTGCTACAAGAAAAAGCGGGAGGCCCACCTGGCACGGAATGCAAGGTGTATGGCTCCCATTATTGACACCGTAAGGGATGAGATGCATAGAGTGCATGAAATCAGTGTGTGATCACTCGGCATGATTAGTGCTGCGAGGACATCTGCGTAGCCCGTATTTGAGTAGCCCTCCGGGGGCATTTGCGTAGCCCGATGCACGACATCAATGAGTGATCGCCTGATTTTGCAAGCGACTTGGGTTCCCCCTGCAGCTCGCCTCTTCATGTTTTACAACAGGAAGCGAAGGCTACCGGGACTGGGAGGGCTGGGTGTTCAGCCGATGAGCTCAGGGGCTTTTGGGCCCGTGCTCGGAATTTAAGCCAAGCATGATAATGCACATCAATCCTCACCTACCCTGCCAACCAAAAGGATTCTGATATGCATGATGTATGCTTTGGCAAATGATGTGAAGCAGCTCCTCTCTTTTCAGCTGATGCTTGGTCTGAGCTCCACGCGATGTCAAAAGAAGCAAAAATGATTTGCACCGAATCCCTGATGTCAATGTGTAGCTGGGGCCATTGGTTTCTGCTACAAGAAAAAGCGGGAGGCCCACCTGGCACGGAATGCAAGGTGTATGGCTCCCATTATTGACACCGTAAGGGATGAGATGCATAGAGTGCATGAAATCAGTGTGTGATCACTCGGCATGATTAGTGCTGCGAGGGCATCTGCGTAGCCCATGGTAAAACAAGCACAGATGCCCATTGAGAACATAAAATGTGCACAGCCCAGTCTTCTCCAGAGAGAGCCCTGGGTAAGGAGCATGTTTTGGAGAAGAATGGGTCATGGCCGGAAGTGCTCCATGAAAGTCTTGAGTGGCGCCTGAGCCAGGCCCTGCTGCAAGGGAAAAGGAACAGTGAGCACTTCGGCTCCTAAGGAGCGCATGAGCTTGTCATCTTTTCCATGTCTGCTCAGGCCGTCCGCAACGTTGGAGCAGCTTTCGACCCATTCATGCCAACATCGCGTATCAAGCGACGCACAACATGTGCCGAAGACGGAGAGGAGGACAGAGCTGTCCCATTGCTGCGAGTGTCCCTTGATCAATCCTGCTAACGCAGAAGCATTGTCAACGAAATGGATGAGAAAGCTGTCTCTCAGCACGTCTTGGGCAAAACATGCAGCAAGAAGCGCAGCCGCAACTTCAGCCTGGTTGATTTGTGTTTCGCGCGGAAGAAACTCCCTGAGAAGAGCATCGGGAATCTGAGAGTACAGTCCCAGGGGTCTGGACCTTCGGGGGCTGAAAATGACGCAGCCGAGACCTGCTGGCTGTCCCGGTTCCCACATGGCATCCGTGTACATGATGCAAGGCGCCTCTTGAGGAAGGAAGGCAACCACCCTCGGAGGTAATTCTTGCAAGACACACTGAAGAAACTCCAGAGCTGCGCGCAAGGACGGCGTCAGCGCAGAGCGCTTGTCTCTGTGCTGTCGCTCTGCAAGAGCTGTCTCAGCAAATCGCTGAACACGCCCCTGCACCTGGGAGCTGAGAAAAACAGATTTGCCCCGCAAGGAGCTAGCTTGTGCGGAAGTGAGCCGGTTTGCGTCTATAGCGCCCTGAAGCTCAAGCAGCAAAGAATCAATTCTGCCCGGCTTCGGCGCCACTTGAACTGTTGGAGCTTTGAGCAAAACGGAGGAGAAGTCAAAGCTGACCCCCGTGTACACAAATGATTCTGACATCAACCAGCGTTTTGAAGCGTCCAGCTGAACTCCCAAAAGTGAGCAAAGTGAACGAAATGCCTGCTGAGCTGAGCCTTTTTCATCGGACAGGCCCATGCATAAGTTATCGTCATAGAAATGAAGCGCTGGCACACAGAGGAGCTGTCGCGCGACTGCTACTTGGAGCTCGGGGCCCCTGTTGTAGTTGATCACAGAGCTGCTGAGGCCAAACGGGTGGCCATATAACTCCATGAAACGAACGTCATTGACTTCATGATGGTAGAACGCCACAATCAGAAAACAAGCATGTACATCTGCAGTGGCTTTCCACCTGTACGCAGAGCTTTCGTCATCGACACCCGCCTGCAAGGTGACGGTCTCAGCATTGCGCTGGCTATCCTGCATACAGTCATGAAAGAACTTGGCTAAAGCAATGACCAGGTCATGCGAGGTGGTGTGCACACGGGACCAGGCATGAGAGGCAGCATTGTGGCCGGAACGCTTGCCATCGTCAATGGCACTCCATTTTGGCCCCTGCAAGATGGGGAAGCGCGGAAGCGTTCGCCAACCTCCTCTGCCGTATTTTGAGTCCAAAGCCTCCTTCGTCAGGAAACCTGAAGCACCACCACGATCCAGGTCCTTCTGGCACAGTTGAAGCAAAGCCACATCGGCTCCTGGAAATGTGCTTGGTTTGAGTTGCCGCATAAGCTGGGCAGTGTACTCCTCAGCGTCCGCTAGTAGAGCCGCAGAGTCTTGGCTTGCTCTCGAGTTTGGCGCAGCCCGGAAGATTGGCACATCTTCCAGGTGCCCAACAACAGCAAAACCTGTCATGAGCCTGCCAGGGAGGGTAACATCAGCCCAAGCGGCGGCAATGCAAAGGTAGAGCCACATGCTGACATTTGTGCACGCAGCAACTGCACGTACGCGGGGGCTCATGCTTTGCAAGCAAAGCACATTGAGCTCATGCAAGGCCTTGGACTTTTGACGCCAGCTGCGAATGACACTCCGTCGCAGAGGAGTCTGCGACTGGGCGGCGGCTTGACGAACCACGTAGTCAAGATCAAGTGGCAAATCGGTCGCCATCTGATATGGATGATGCTCGAGCAGACGGGCAGCGTGTAGGTGCTTCAGTTTTCCCAAGCCTTCCGGCACAAGACGTGGCCAGCCTTCGCGAGAAAGATGGGAGCCGCGCTGGCACGAAGCTGTTGCACTGAAGCCCGCAGCAGAGCATTGCTCATAGAAGTCGGGCAGTATGACACCTCCCTTCTGCAGACCAAGGTTGAGCAGGTGCCGGTAGAAAGGATTCACCTGATCAGGACTGTCAAACAAGTGAGCAAACGGCATAGCCAGTGCATTCAGGGGCGGAGGCTGGCATTGAATGTAACGGCGCACGAAATCATCACCAGTCTGGCCCCACAGAAAAGTCACGGGGTCCTGGACAGACACCGGCACCGGCAGCTCAACTGGCGGCTTCACCAAGATGAGGCCGTCAGAAGTTGAGATGCCGCAGAACCAGACAAGGCTGGCAAACAAGAGCTTAAAGCAGGGAACATGCCAGGTGTTACCTATCATGTTTAGTCGTGCTGCATTGCCAAGGACACCATGTTCAGACGTGGGCACACGAGTGTAATTGGCAGGCAAGCCAAACAACAACTCCTTCTCCTCAACAGATGGAGTGCGAGCCTCATTGCCCTTCCAAACCAGGCTGCAGTCTTCAAAGTGATAGACTGGATACTTGACCTCAGCAGCATCAAAGCGGCAACGGGCTTCTTGC